ACACACACACACACACACGTACACACATACAAAATTGATTTCTATATTAAGTAGGACTTTTCTCTCTTTGCAACATAGATTATAATACTTTGTCTTTTCTTGTCGCAGTTGGACGTAAAACGGGCAATGCACATGTTTGAAGATGCAACGAGACTGGTGTCTATGGTGGACATGTTTAGCGATAACGAAACTTTCGAGGAAGTAGCTACAGAAAATATCAAATACTTTTTATTACCGGCTCTGTTGGGCAAGCTTACCAATCAGATATGCGGTACCGATGATAGGATGCATTTGGTTAAAGTAGCGGAAGTCTACTTTGTAGATTTTTTAAAGCGACTAAAGGTATATGGTCTGACTGATGTTAAAATACCAGAAATTGATTCAACCGATGAGAAGAAGGAAGCAGGAGATAATCAAAATACACCAGAATCGTCATCAAGGATGTTAGAGAATATGGTTGGCTCTTTTTAACACATAATCATAAATTGTTACAGAGCTAAAGTATATTCTGATTCCGCCTGTTTCAGGTACTTCGTAGAAATGTAAAGTTACAAAGGTATCAACAGGAGAAGGATTTGGAATCTCGTTTGGATACTTTAAAAAAAAATTTAGACAATCCAAATATTGATGACGAAATCAAGAGAGAATATTTTGTCACTCTTGTAAAGTTATATGCAGTCCGAATTGTCGAAGATTTAAACTTGTTGAAAACAGAGAAAGCGATTTTGGAGAACATGAAGGCAATGGAACCAATGCATACTTTCGAATCACAAAAGACTCAAAAGCAAAAAACGGCAGCTCCAAAACTGCAACCTATTATCATTACGCGTGACGAGGTTCAAAAGAAAGTTTTTGGAGCAGGCTACCCAAGTTTACCAGTCTTAACGGTACAAGAGTTCTACGAGCAAAGAGTCAAGGATGGAGAGTAAGTGAATATTATATTCAACGAACATCTTTTTTATTAAAACCTGAGAAGAACAGAAAGAAAAATCAGTGATAAAACACGGAATTTGTGGTGTTATTTTAGCTGGCCCGATCCATCGCAGCATAACGCAACGAATTCTCAGTGTTTACAAAATATGACGAACAAAGATACAAGCGCAAATAATGAGGACAGTGAAGCCGTTTTGAAGGAGGAGATGGAAGAGAAAGACGATCCCGAATATCTCGAACAAAAGCGTGCAATGGATGAATATAAAGATATGCATCGTCGCGGATGGGGTAATCGCGATAATAGAAGTTAGACGTTTGAGAATATATTTAAGATTGACATACGTCACATTTATTCTGTACTTTGGTATGTTTTTGTGTTTTTGTTTATATTCGAAACTGTGACCATTGAATCATTTGTTTTATCGAACTTCGACACAATTGCGAGTCTCTTAACAAATGGACCGACAAAATGCGTCCTCTGAAAGCGAGGGAGATGTTAATCTTAAAAAAAAAAATTAAAAATGTACATATTATGTACGTGTATCTCATCAGTTAGTAAACCTAAACAAACATTTTTATAATGAAATAGATAATAATTCAGTATCTCCTCGAAATCATTATTTAAGATAATTTTAGCCAATATGCTAAAAAATTTTGCAAAATATACGTATTATATACGTTTTTGCATTGTGTGTGTTTAACATATAAGATCTCGTCAAGAATATGACAGGAAAACAGAGTTCTTCCTTTGAAAAGAATAAAATAATGACCAATAATACGGGAATTATACGACCGTTATGATATGCAATCATAGATGCAAATAGATTAAGATTAAACTAAATCGCCATTTACGGTTTGCGCTGGATTTTGGTAACCTAATTATT